GTCTACTTCTGAATTGAAGCCTTCTTTTTTCCTGCCAGACAGACATTAATGAATTTTTGAACAGCAGTGTCTGTACTTCGCCAATCAGCGTTTTTTTCGGTGAAAGTTTGAAAATAGCAGTAACAGTATTCAGGTTTTGGTACTTTGAAAATTGAAAGAACAAAAATCCAATTTACAGATTATTTAAGGGCGTACAATGTATAAGAGATTGACAAACAAGCAGGCCAACATCAAACACCGGAAGTTGGAAAGGAACACGAATAGATTTGACAAGGAATCATCTTCATACGAAAAAACGCTTGTAAAATGCATGGAACTAACTATCGTGGCTCCCTGTTGTTCCAACTGAAAACTCGCCAAAGAGATCGAGTGAGCTGATGATCAAAATTTCCTAAGCAAACGGTCCATTGGCCGATACTTGGGAATCAGAAAATTCGAATAAACAAATTTGTACTCCCAAATATTTTTATCAGTGAAATTTGACTTTGAGAAGCTTTAGAGTATGTCGAATAACTCCCTCTAGCCCTTACCTCTGACGACAGAATAGCTGCCTGTTTGTCCTAACGCCACAGTCCATATGGTCATAAAACACAACAGCAGCCTTCTGAGTCGCCTATCGGTCATTTCGTTCAACTCCGGAAGAATCCACTTACACTATTAGTTATCAAGCATGAATTTCGTAACCACTTTGCGTCACATCCTTCCGTAAAGTTTCGGATTTGCGGTGGAAACTGGAGCCCATAAATTTATCTAACGATAGGAATTTGTGGCAATAAAATAATTTTGATTGTTTTAATTGCATTCAAATCTTTTGAAGACTACTGAGAAATAGCATAAGCTTGATTTTTCACTTGGACTTGGCCATATCTTTTTCCAGTTATCTAAAATATGGTTTCTCCATTGATGTTCCTAATATTAAGTTACGTTTTCGGATGGAAGCTGTGACTGAAAGGAAGTCTACTCTATTATTAGCCACTTCTCTCGAATCTTCTTTCGTAACACGCTGACACGCTGAATGATAAATCGTTATGTGACAACAAAACAAAACTGAATTATCTGAAATCGTCCTACCCCTCTCAAAGAAGTGTATTTACGTTAGCCTCAGCTTGAAGATGAAAATTTTTGCAAAAAGATGCTAAAAATGTAGATTTCGGACTGGCGTGTGGGAAGTATGCAATGAAAGTAAAGTTGTGTCCTTTTACAACAGAAGCACGTCTTCGAATAGCTGAAAGTTCCAATTCAGCTCTTCACCCTAGAGGTTTTATAGTACTGCTGCAACTTTCAATTTCTTTTTTGCTCGATTAAAGAACGAAATTAAACTCAGAACTCACTTACCGCTTCAGCTTTCTTCCTAACGAACACATTGCGACGGTAAGTTATCTTTCCTCGCCATGTGTTGATATACGAATGGCTGAGCGTGTTATTTTACAAAAGGGTGTCGCTGTGAAACGTTACGTTCTAAGCGTGATATTCCGGCGTGTGTATTCAAAGCACAAGGATCCCAAGCTCACGACGCAAGAGAAGACAAAGACGCTTCATGAATAAATACATACGTTTCCGAGAATTGCCTTTTCCATCTTCGGGACGTGAATTTTATTCAAGATCCTCATTCGAGTTTGACGCAATCTTTCCTTTACAGTCTTTGTTCCTTCTTTTACAATTTTGCCTGCTTCATGAATCTATATCTAAGCCACTATCATATCATGTAGTCTCCACGCTTTTAGAAAAGTTCCCGGCAAAGTCTAATTACTCTGACTCTGTTAAAGAGAAAATTCCTTCCTTTCACCACTGTTCTTTTGTTCTTGTCATTAACAACTTACGGCATTTTCTACGGAACAACGTTAAATGAAAAAGGAGAAAGCGAAGAAGATGTCAATACTATTTCGGCGAGTAAACTGGGGCTATTTGGGTTGTAACTGCCTTGTTAGCTCAAGTTGT